CCTGCGGCCCCTTTCCCTGGCCCTTCAGCTCGGCAGGGTCCTTGACACATGTGCATGCACTTGGCGTGTTCTCAGGCGGACCGCTCCAGCGCTGCAGTTCTGTCTGCTCCCAACTGTGCCCCAGGCTGGCGGCTCAGACAGTCCTCGTTGAGCAGTCATGCAGCCCCATTGCTTGTCAGGTCACCGACCCTGTGTCCCACGGCTCTGGGAGAACCAAGCAGAGGCCGGAGAACGGAGGTGGTCAGCATCGCCCGTTCCAGAGCCCGGGCTCCTGGCTCCCGTGCCGCTGCCCGGGGGCCGTGTGGGTCCTCCGTGGTGCTGCTTCACACCCATCAAAGCTCCCACTTCCCTGGTCGTGATCACTCAGACGTGTTCGAGGTGGAAGTCCCTCTGATGTTACACTCGGGGTTTCGTTCTGTTTGATTTTGCCAGGGCACACGCTGCCAGGGAGAGCAGACGGGGAGAGGGGGTGAGAAAGTGCTCCCCGAGGGATGGCCACGCTGCAGTCCCTTCTCCGTTTCCCCGTTGGGGTTTGAGGCACATGCACACGTGTGCGTGGTATGTTTTCAAGCCACCATCTGGGACCTGAACTGTGTGGTCGGCTGCGGGAGAGCTGGCCACTCTAACCACCAGGCCACAGGCCAGCCTGTCCTTGTTCTCCACGCAAGTTTCTCCAGCTCTCATGACCAGAGTGGGAGAGCCCTCGCGTGTACTGTGCCCGTGGCCCAGTGGCGGTGTGGCCACAGCGTGTGCCCTGTGATGCGCCCTGACGCGCCTGCCCGTCATCCAGGTGGCCGGGCGTTGGCATGGACTGCGGCGCCAGGACCTCGTTGGGCTTCTCTTCCTCCCATTTGTGGAAAAAATAAACCAACTTTGAAGTAGGTCTGGAGGCCCAGTCCGTGGTCTAGTGGCTGGGGAGCCGGGTCCCACACGGCCAGCTGTGCGGTTTCTGAACCGTGTTCCTGGGTACTGGGCAGGTGCACGCACACCCACAACCGCAACAGGATGGAGAAAGAAAGAAAACTTATAAATAAGTAAACAAGTAAATAAAAATTTTAAAAAGTGGGAGGGAGGTGATCAGGGAAAAACCAAATGAACATACATTTAATAGACACAAAAATGGGAAGTTATCTGCTGATGATTGGGAAGGTCACAATGCATTTTTGACTAGAAAAACAGAAAAATATGTCATGCACTGTATTCATGCTGAGAAAAACTGGTACACTCTAAAGATGTACAGTGATGGGGACCAGCAGTTAGCATAATGACTACATTCTGGACTCCCGTGTAGTCGACCGCTATTCGAGTCCCGGACCCGGTGGCTCAAACTCACTTCAGGTGCGTGTGCGTGTGTGCCCAAGATCCTGAGAGGATAATGGAGGAGAGTGGATTGCGGCGTGGCCATCCTCCCTGGGAGGTGATTTATCGCATGCTCTCTCTCTGTCTCTCTGGCAAGCACATGTGCCCTATAGCAAAAACCTCTCCGAGAAAAAAAAAAGATGTACGGTGATTAAGTGTAAATGAAAGAAAGATTGAAAGCGGATTAAGTGTAAGTGAAAGAAAGATTTGAAAGCGTGTTGCAACTGCGTGTTGTACATGTACAGCTAGTCCTTTCTCTTGCTGCTGATTGCGTCTAAAAGCTAGAATAACAGGATCTCGGCGATCAGCGATCTGCACTGTGTCCTCAGTTCGGCAGTTTTACTTTACCAGAGATAGAAGGACATTCTATAGTGAGGGTGTTTGGGGGTATGAGTTAGGAAATAGTCATTTGAAAGACTTTTTTTTATCTTAACAGAAATTCTACATTTTGTTGACCGGGGTTCCAGTAGCAATTGGTATTACTCTGGTGAATGTCTTCGTTGGTAAGTTCCTGCTACTCCCAGCACCACCAACTTGGTAAATGTTAAAAATATGCACCTTAATTAAACAAAAAAAAAATTGGGGGATATTGTAACTAGCAGGGTATTGAACACTCTTTAAATAATAAAATAAGTATCACATAGCTATTTAATTTTAAATAACCAAGTTTTAATCTGTAGTAGTAAACAGTGTTTTTTTCTTCCTTTTTCTCAATGCCAGAGATCATGTGCTCACATGCAGGAGAGGGAGAGAGCCACCCCTCCAGGTCCGGCCCCTGCAGCCCTACCCTCCTGTTCTCCATGCTCTCAGGGCCTGGGCGAGAGCACACACCTGTGTGGCTGCCAGGGGCGGGATTCAAACCACAGTCAGCCTAGTGCAGTTGGGCCTCTTCTGTGTGCTGCTACAGGGCTGGCCCTGCGATGCTTTGCTTTATTTTTAATTCCCAGAGGGCACACGTGCTTGTCAGTGAGAGAGCTGTGGGGGCGTGGCCATCTGCAGCACTGTCTCCATCTCCGTCCCGTTGGGATTTGGGGTGTGCATGTACCCACACCTAGTTTGTGTTCGGGTCGCCAAGTCTGGGATTTGGACTGCTTGGTTGGCTGTAAGGGATCAGTTTCCTCTTAAACTCCAGGTCATGGGACCAGCCCCACAAGTTATTATTACTATTTTTATTTTTTTGGAGAGGTTTTTGCTATAGGGCACATGTGCTGGCCAGAAAGACAAGAGAGACAGAGAGACAGAAAGTGAGAAATCACCCCCCAGGGGGGATGGCCACGCCGCAATCCCTTCTCCATTCTCCTCTCAGGATCTTGGGCATGCATGCACACACACCCAGTGTGAGTTTAAGCCACTGGGTCCGGGACTTGAACCACGGTCGACTACATGGGAGTCCAGCGACATAGCCATAACGCTAACTGCTGACCCCAAGGTTATTTTTTTAACACATTTTTTCCCCTCCTGAAACCGTGGGGGTCATCTCCTCTGTAGGGGTCACCTGGAGCTCCTGATCTCGTCTTCTTCCTTCTCGTTTCCCCAAACTAACCTCCATGGTTCTGAATAAGAGGGTTGGAGGCAGAGGGGTAGAAAGGTGAGAGAGAGTTTTTTATCTACCCTGGAGTACATAAAACTAGATCTTAACAAAAAATGAACGCAAGTGCTAGGTTTTAATGGGAAATTCTGCTCAAAATACTTGTTTTTTAAAATAATTATTTTATTTAACTTTATTATTTATTCATTTCTTTATTTCAATGTGACCAGAAAGGGACAGAGTGAGAGAGAGAGAGAGAGAGAGAGAGAGAGAGAGAGAGAGAGAGAGAGAGAGAGAGAGAGAGAGAGAGAGAGAGAGAGAGAGAGAGAGAGAGAGAGAGAGAGAGAGAGAGAGAGAGAGAGAGAGAGAGAGAGAGAGAGAGAGAGAGAGAGAGAGAGAGAGAGAGAGAGAGAGAGAGAAAGCAAGCCGCCAGGTCCAGGATTCGAACCAAGGTCGGCCATGCGGGAATCCAGTGCTCTTAACCACTATGCCACCTGCCGGCCCCTCTGCTCAAAATACTTTAACACCCCAATTCCTAAAGCATTTTCTCTAGAAGATGTAGGAAAGACCAGATCAGTTTTTGTTACATGATAAAAAAGCCAGGTGGGAAACGCATGTAGTAACCAGTGGGTGATAACCTTACACACTAACAAGTATCTCACGGGTGGGGTGATTTTCACCCCGACTGAAGTGAATTTAAGTGATTGGACATCTTTATTGGCACCGGTAAAAGAAAGAACCGTTTAAAATCATAAGTCGGTTTCCTTAATCACCGTAAACAATCGACATTGTAAACTTCGAGTGGTAAACAGTGTTACAAATATTGCAAACTGAGGATGCCAAAGCTGAGCGCCACCATTTTCTCTCCTAGGTGAAGCGGAGTTGGCAGAGATCCCCGAGGGTTACATCCCCGAACACTGGGAGTATTACAAGGTCCGGTCACTGGCCCACGTCCTCACCTGGCCCCCACGCCGTGGCTTTCTGTCCGCTTGTTACTTTCCTCCGCCTTTTTACATTTATTCAAGCTCCACAGTTCCTCAGGCCTCCATCCTAACGGGGTTCCGAGGTTCGGTGCCGGAGGGGAGACCTCATGCGCGGACGCTAGCTGTCCTTCGTGGAGCACTGGCGTCCTGCAGGCCTGTCCCAAGTACCAGCGTACAGGGTGCCTCATCCACGCAGCCGTCTGTCAGTCCCCTCCGGAGATGGGGGCGGAGGCTTAAAGAGCGAGGTCGCCATCTCGCCGCGTGGTCCTGGAGCCCGGGCGGTCCCCGCTCCCGAGCCTGCACTGCCCCGTGCTCAGCCACCAAACCCAAACCACGGTTCCTCCCCTCTCCAGAAGTAGTGGCGGACTTGGCCACACAGCCTCTTGTTTTTATAAAGTTTGTGCTTACGAGACAGAGGGAGGGGAAGTGAGAAACACCCCTAGGGGTACGGCCATGTTCCCTGGTCTCTTGGGATTGGGGCACACACATGCACACATAAGCCTGGCGTGATTTTCCAGCCTCTGGGTGTCCGGGACTGGAACCGCAGTCGGCCATGTGAAATCCAGTGCCTTAGCCTCCACGCCACCAGCTGGCCCTCCCACCTTTTCTTTTTTAAATTATGTATCTAATTTCATTTATTGTTGTTGTTATTTTTAATTTTCTATAGGGAATACACACTCCCTAGAGAGAGACAGGGCAGGGGAGGAGAGAAAGCGAGCTGCCATGTCCAGACTCAGCCCACCAGGATTGGACTCAGGCTGCAGTCAGCCACGCGGGAGTCCACAGGGTGACCACCTGCCACCCATCGGCCCCCTTCACGTCTGACTGTCCGAGGGAATGGTAGCTTAGGAAAGAAATGCCGTGTTATTAAATCTGTCGCAAGCCAAGCAGTTGGTTTATTTTTGCTTACTGGTGGAGAGCTCATCTTGGGATCAGCAAACCTTGATCTGGCCTTGCACCTGCCACGTGAGCAGCTCCCCCGTGTGGGGAGGGCACTGAGCACTGTCGCTGACACACGGGTGACTGGTACCGCCTGCTGGCCCCCTCCCGCGAGGGCAGGAGCAGGTGCTGACGGGCTACACGGTCCACAGCACAGAAGGTGGTGGGTCCCTGGCTGGCCTCCCTGTTTATCTGCTCGAGACGGGCGTGGTAAAAGGTGTTGAATTAGAGGAGCAAAGTGCTGTTCAGACGCGGACTGACTGTGGATGCGTTTTCCCGCAGCACCCTATAACGAGGTGGATCGCCCGTACTTTCTTTGATGGTCCCGAGAAGAATTACGAGAGGACGATGGCGGTCCTTCAGATTGAAGCGGAGAAGGCTGATTTACGGTAGGCAGACGGGGTGGGCGGGGAGGGAAAGGGTTCATGAGACCGTGTCAGGGACAGACTGGTCTGGCTGAGGGCTGGCCCAGCCGGGAGGCCCGATGTGGGAGGTGATGTGGGTGGGAGGACAGGTAGCTTTAGCCGGAAACAGGCGACCTGGGGAGATGGCTCAGTTGGGCTCAGAGGCCACCCTCAGAGTCCTGCACCCAGACGGGCTTTGAAGGGGAAAGAGGGGGTTCCTGCTGGCACGGCATCTCAGCCTCCAGACTGGCCTGTGGAGGCCTGGGGCGTCGGCCGGCATTCTCAGCAGTGGGCGCGTGGCTGGACCTGGCTTTCAGGCAGAAGGACCCATCTCTGAGCCGACCCACTTTCTGGTCTAAGCCCTTCAGGTCTCTGGTCTGCCAGGTCTTCCCAAAGCCAAGCAGGGTCCATGAGCTAAGTGTTAAACAGAGGGAAGAAAACGGGCCATGTGCCAGCCTGAGCCCGGCCTGTGCTGCTGGGTCAGTGTGGAGGGCCCCGGTCCCTCTGCGGCCTCGCTGCAGCCCCGTAGGGGCTCACGTGAGACCTGGCCTGGGCACAGCGAGCTAAGCCGGGACCGAGCCAGAGCGTTCTGTTCTTAGTGTCCTGCCCTGTGCTGTGCCAGACAGCCCCGTTCCTCACCCAGCCCCAATTTCCTTCCGGCACAGCCAGTCTTGTACTTAGGAGTGACCCCTAATAAAGTTTCTCATGTGTTCTAGGAAAGTTTGTGGGTTTAAACTACATTTTATAATATCATTAAAAATTATGTTGGAAGAACTGCAGTCCTCTCTTAAGCGTGGTTTTGCAACTATATTTTATAATATCATTAAAAATTATGTTGGTAAGAACTGCAGTCCTCTCTTAAGCGTGGTTTTGCAACTATATTTTATAATATCATTAAAAATTATGTTGGTAAGAACTGCAGTCCTCTCTTAAGCGTGGTTTTGCAACTATATTTTATAATATCATTAAAAATTATGTTGGTAAGAACTGCAGTCCTCTCTTAAGCGTGGTTTTGCAACTATATTTTATAATATCATTAAAAATTATGTTGGTAAGAACTGCAGTCCTCTCTTAAGCGTGGTTTTGCAACTATATTTTATAATATCATTAAAAATTATGTTGGTAAGAACTGCAGTCCTCTCTTAAGCGTGGTTTTGCAACTATATTTTATAATATCATTAAAAATTATGTTGGTAAGAACTGCAGTCCTCTCTTAAGCGTGGTTTTGCAACTATATTTTATAATATCATTAAAAATTATGTTGGTAAGAACTGCAGTCCTCTCTTAAGCGTGGTTTTGCAACTATATTTTATAATATCATTAAAAATTATGTTGGTAAGAACTGCAGTCCTCTCTTAAGCGTGGTTTTGCAACTATATTTTATAATATCATTAAAAATTATGTTGGTAAGAACTGCAGTCCTCTCTTAAGCGTGGTTTTGCAACTATATTTTATAATATCATTAAAAATTATGTTGGTAAGAACTGCAGTCCTCTCTTAAGCGTGGTTTTGCAACTATATTTTATAATATCATTAAAAATTATGTTGGTAAGAACTGCAGTCCTCTCTTAAGCGTGGTTTTGCACCTTGTCTTTATTCACTTGATGTAGGTTCGTGGTCTTTTTTTTTTTTTCTTTTTTTGAGAGCTTTTTTTTGCTATAGTGCCTCAATGCTTGCCGGAGAGACAGTGACAGAGAGACAGAGAGAGACAGAGAGACAGAAAGCGAGAAATCACCCCCCAGGGGGATGGCCACGCCACAGTCCCTTCTCCTCCATTCTCCTCTCGGGATCTTGGGCACGCACACACACGTGCCCGGCGTGAGTTTAAGCCACCGTGTCTGGGACTCAAACCACGGTTGAGTACATGGGAGTCCAGCAACATAGCCGTTACGTTAACCGCTGGTCCCAAGCATACCTCTTTTTAAAAAATTATTTATTTAACTAATTAATTAATTCTTTTTTTTTTTTTTAATTTGACTAGAGAGAGAGAGAGAGAGGGTGAGAGAGCAAGCCACCAGGTCCAGGACTCGAACTGTGGTCAGCCATGTGGGAGCACCCAGCACCTTAACCACCACGCCACCTGCTGGTCCCAAGCATACCTCTTGAATATAGTCACAAATATAGTCACAAAATCTGTTGATGGAGGTTAATGAGCTAGTTATGATTTATTAAAGTGAATTATTTAACTGTGATAATTTCTAGTTGTAAGAAAACGGTGACAGGTGTCATATAAAAACAGAGTGAGAGCCGGATGAGGGGGTTGGGAACCTGGCGTCTGGGCCGAGGCTTGGCTGAGGGGGAGCATCTCTACAGGACAGATTATCCCGTTCGTGGCGGGCGACACGATGGAGTCGGTGTAGGAGCCGGAGAAAGGTCCTGGAGCCCTGACCTGCCTCAGTGTAGACGGGTCGGAGCTCCGCCCAGAGCTGGTCTGTCCCCAGCCCTCGGCACAGCGGTGGGCACACCAGGGCGCTCCCCAGTCTCTGGGATCTGGACGAGAAGGCAGGAGGGCGCTGTACAGCCACTACGGGAGCCCAGACCAAGGGCCGCCCGTGAGGCAGAGGTAACGGTCAGCCCAGGTGACATGGCTGCCCAGTCGCTCACTGCAGAGGCAAGATCGTCATAGCGGGAAGGGGGTCTAGGCCAGCAGGTGGTGTGGCCATCAGGGCACTGGGTCTCACACGGCCTGGTGGCTTGAAAATCACACAAGTGCGTGTGCATGCGTGGCCACGGTCCTGAGGAGCCCGGAGAAGAGGCCGCAGCCTGGCCGATCCTCTGGGGGTGGTTTCTCATCCCCCCATCTCTGGTGAGTGTGTGTGCCCTATAGCAAACACTAGCAGAAGTCTGAGTGTGGCTGGAGATGCTCTCACACAGGCCCTCGTGGCTGGGTGCGTGGGGAGACGTGGCGTGTACTTCGCACACGAGGGACAGCCAGGGACCGGGAGGTGGGCCATTTGCTTTGGACCTGCCAGAATCACCACATGCTCCGCTGTTCCAGGTTGAAGGAGCTGGAGGTGCGGAGGCTAATGCGTGAGAGGGGAGACGGGCCCTGGTACCAGTACCCGACCATCGACAAAGCGCTGGTGGACCATTCTCCGAAGGCGGCTCCTGACAGCTAGCCCCACCGCGCCAGGCGCAGAGGCCGCTCTGCAGTGGAGATGGGCGAGTGGATGCTCTGTGTGCTCTCCGAGGAATAAAAGCTGTCCGCGGCCGCTCCCCGGTGGTGCTGGTTCATGGGAAGGCTTTTGCTTTGGGGGGTTCAGGTTTGAAATGAACCCGGCCGCATCCCGGTGGGCTCTGCTCCCGGGCACAGTGCTTGTCGGGACACGCCAGGCCAGCACCCGTGGACAACGCTGAACGTTTGTAATGTTTTCAAGTTCTCTTTTTAACAGTATCTGCATATACACACACGCGTTTTTCTGAGGTGCCCTAAGGTTTCTTAGAGCCCTTTCTGTGGACACTGGAGAAGTAGCTGCCCAGGGTCACACGGTCCCCACAAAGCCGGCGAGATGCGAGTCAGTGTACAGGTTCAGCACTTGCTGTGCTGAGTGCTGTCGTATAGTTGCATTTTTTCACAGTGAAAGCACATGCGCTCACTGTAGAGAGAGATGGAAGAAGTGAGAGAGCAGCCAGGGGGCACTCACTGCAGCTCCTTCCCCACATCTCCCGTTCGGGATTCCAGGTGTGCACGTGCTCACTCCCAGAGTGATTTTCTGTTTGTTTTTTTTAGAGTTTTTTTTTGATACAGGGCACGTGCGCTCGCCAGACAGACAGAGACAGAGAGACAGAAAGCGAGAAATCACCTGCCCCCCAGGGGGATGGCCACGCCACAATCCCTTCTCCTCTGTTCTCTGGGGATCTTGGGCACACATGCACACGCGCCTGGCATGAGTTTGAGCCTCCGGGTCCAGGACTTGAACCATGGTCGACTACATGGGAGTCCAGCAACATAGCCATTACGCTAACTGCTGGTTCCCCCGCCAGAGTGATTTTCAGCCCACTGAATCTGACGCCCGACCCACACAGTCGGCCTCGTGGGGGCCAGCTGCCTTGGCCTCTGTGCCACCAGCTGCCCTCCCAGTCAAGAAATTTTTATTTACAGAATTTCGCAAGTGACTTCTCTACTGCCCAGCCAGGTCACTATCTCCTTCCTCCAAAGCTTGGATCATGATTTCTCTTCAAGATAGTTCTTTTTTCTTTTTTTTTGTAAGAGATTTTTGTTGTAGAGTTCATGCACTCGCCTGAGAGACAGCAAGACAGCGATTAATCCCTCCCAGGGGGATGGCCACGCAGTCCCTTCTACACTCTCCTGTCTGGATTTTGGGACATATATATTTTGGCCCGGCGTGAGTTTTAAGTCGCCAAGTCTAGGACTTGAACCGCGGTTGCCTACGCGGGAGTCCAGCAACGTAACCATTACTCCAAGCATTGGCCTCTAAGGTAGCCACCAGGGCCGGGGCTCAGATGGGCTTTGGCCCTGTGGGCTCTGGGCCCGGCCTGGGTTTGCTCCAGGCCCTGCTGGCTAGTGTGGGGAGTGCAGTAAAAGGCAGTGAGTGTAAGTCCCTGATTGCCCTCGGGTCAATATCCCTACAAGGGGAAGGCGAGTTCTTGGAGGAGGAAGCAGATCCTCCCGGACCCACCGTGGCCACGCGGGGACGTGCTTCAAGGGCGAGCTGGAGCCGGGGTGCGCCGTCTCTCCCTGTCTCACTCTCTCTGTCTCACTTATGGAAAAAATGAGTAAACAAACTAAACATTTCAGGGCGGAGGGGGTTAGCAGGGGGAAGTGCAAGGCTTTTTATGGGGAGGTAGTGAGAAGGCAAGGGCATGAGGCAGGAAGTTGTGACACGTGGAACTGCGGCCTCTGGCATGGTCAAGCGGGCGAGCAGGGCTGAGGCTGCCTGGCATGGGCTGCCGTCCCACCCTGACCCCGGGGTAGACCCCACTAAACTGACAGGGTCCCCTGGCTTCCGATTTCCCCTGTACCATTACGTTAGCCAAAGGGGCCGCCCTGATTCTAAGTCTCCTTACATCGCTGACAGTAGTGGCCCTCGGGGAGAGCCATCTGACATGATTCTTGTCTCCTGCCTCCCCACCGCCCTGCCTGTGAGCTTCCTAAGCAGCTTGTCCTTTCAGGGCGAGTTGTCTCCGCCCTCACCTCTGCCTCTTCAATGCCACCTTCTCATCCTTCAAGTCTCAGCTCAGGAGGGACCCTTTTATGAAGATAGACTGTGTGCCATCCCATAATGCACTCTTCCACAGGGTCACGCTTTAATGTGACAGTGAGGTGAAGGGAAGGGGTGCCTCGCTGCCTTCCCGTGGGGAGTGCATGTGGGGGAGGTCCTGTGCTCCCCTCCTGGCAGCTCCCCGAGGCTCCCACACGTGCACACCTGCCGAGATCCAGCCCAGCAGACTGCCGGGTCACAGTGTGGGCATGGCGGACACCTCGAGAGGTCTGCCGAATGAGGGACACGCAGTCTTAACCTGGTTTTGTTTTCTCCAGTGTGCTCCCTGGGGCATGGCCTCCTGCTCCCTCCCTCCCATCTTGCCCTGGGGAGGTGGCCTGCACGTGGTCCCAGCCTCGGAGTCCAGCTGCCACGTGGGACCTGGTTGCCTTAATCACATCAGGCTGGTCCAGTTTCGGCTTATTTTTAAGTGATCTTTTTTTCCTTTTTCTGCAATTCTGCAGGGGCCAGAACGTTGTCATAAAAAGGCCTGGGCGTGGCGCCCTGCTGCAGAAGTGCCCTTGCTGGGTGCTGCTGCGGAGCAGGCCGAGGCCGCGTGAGAGACTCAGGTCCTCCCTGAGAAGTCAGGCAGGGCAGCACACCACCCGTCGTCCCAGGCACGAGAGCGGATGAAGGCAGGAGGCTGCAGCACCGTGAGGCCCTGTCTGAAGGGGAAAGCAAAAGGAAAGAAAGGCTCTGACTCCTGATCAGGCAGACAACACTGGGCAGATAGTCTACTAACAAATCTGGGTGGGCAGTGTTCATGGAAATGTGGAAAGAAAGACGCAGACCACTTAAAGGACCCAAATGGAAGCTAACTGGCGATGGTAGTTTCTTTAGACTAGTATGGTGTTTATGCTGGGAAGATTCATTTTACAAGCCATAATATACAGTGATTGAATGTATAAGTATAAAAAATAAGTGAACTCTGAAAAAAACGTGGATGTCTAGGCCGGCAGGTGGCACGGAGGTTAAGGGGGTTGGATGCTACGTGGCCGACTGCGCGGTTCAAGTGCTGAACCTAGCGGCTTGACCAACGAGCCTGGCACATGTGTGCACATGTGTGCGTGCCCGAGATCCCGAGAGGAGAAGGGAGGAGGGGGCGTGCTGTGTAGGTCCCCGGGAGTGAGCGCTCACTTTCCCCCTCTCGCTCCCCCTCTGATGAGCACATGCACTATAAAGCAAAAAGAAAAAAGAAGAGAGTGACCCGACCCCGTAGGTTGGGAGGAGGCCCCGGGGACCTTCTGGGTGGGTGATGGCCCATGGGGAGTGAAGCCAGCCTGGTCCTATTAGCCCACGTGTGGCGGGCAGTTTGGGATGGTAGTTCACAGACCTGGCTCTGGCTCACCACAGGCTCCCAACCTGAGAGCCATGGGCATTCCACTGAGATGCCGCGTCCCTCTCCCAGCTCCACATCAGCAAACAGCCCTGGCTGCAGCCCCGTACGACACAGTCCTGGAGACAGACAGGTCTGGTACGCAAACTCTGGTCGGCCGTGTGGATTCCAGCTACATAAGCACCAGCACCGTGCCACTTGCTGCCCTGGTGAATATTCTCTTCTGACGTAACATTTATAGCTACACTGAATTCTCTCAAACAGGAAACGCTGTACACGTCCGACCCACAGCCCTACTGTCCCGCGTTTGTCACCAGCACTTCTTGCGGAGGCCACCTGCCACTGCAGAAAACCACTCACATGCATCCACAAGAACTCTCACTAATGTGGCTTTATGGGGTCGCTGCACATCCCTGGGGGACACCTGAGGTCAAGAGCTGACCAACTAATTGAGATAATAAAGATATTGCTTTTCTCTGTAGCTTTTCCCAATTTCCCTTTTGACATTTGTCATGGTAACTAATGCATCACATTTTAACGTGACCTCTGTCAGTTCTTGGAGTAACACGTGTGCAACAATGAACTTTACTTAAAAGCTACAAAGCAGGCTGCAGGACAAGTCTGTTCCAGCGCCGCTGATGTGCACCGTTCATTTCTAGGTACTTACTGAGTGCCTGCAGTAGAACCGGCCCAGGCAGGCAGTGTCCCCAGACCCGGCTTCTGCGATGGGCAAGGACACAGGTAAAGCTGCTTTCAGACGTTTACTGTCTACATAGAGGTGTAAGACGTGGAGCTAAAAGTAATTGAATAACCGTGCAAAGGTGTCATAAGGCAATTTCCAGTGAAGTATACAGGTAATAGGAGCTACACACGGACACAGACACACACACACACACGTGCACATGAGCACCTGCTCTCTCTCTCGAGCTGCTGGGCCAGGGAACAGGACTGGGCCGTCGCCCGCCCCGTGTGGGATCCAGCCACCTGAACCTCCTCACCTGCTGGCCCCAATACACTGTTCTTTCTTTCTCTTTCTTCCCTCACCCTCCCTTCCTTCCTCTCTCTCCTTTCTCCCTCCCTCCCCTCTCTTATTTTCAGGGCCACACTTGCTGAAAAGAGAGCGAGAGATTGCCCCCTGGGGGTGCGGCCACTTGGCAGCCCCCTCCTCTCCATTCTCTTGGAGCTCTGGGCACGTGCACACACCCAGCATAATCCTCGACTGTGGGGTCTGGGACTCAAACCGCAGTCGGTCATGTGGAATCCAGCCACCTCAACCTCCATGCCACTTGCTGGCCTCTTAATATCATTTCCAGTGTGTGCTATTATATGAAAAAAGTTGGGATGCATTTTTAGAGTGATGTAAAAGTATCTTCAACTTGTACTGGTTACTGAGCTTGGAGTGTTTTTATAATTGATGAATTAAAAGAACATCTGTCCCCGGTGTGTGCTGCCCCGCAGGGAGAGCGGGAGTGCGGGAGCACCTCCAGGAGGTGCACTTCTTTCTCCACTCCTCCCGCCGGAGTCTGGCACACATGCACTCGGGCCCAGCATGTTTCTCAAGCTGCCATGGTCAGCCATGTGGCCCGGGCTGCCCTAAGTACCAGTCCACAGGTCCTGCCCCGACTATGTAATTAGTTTTGAAAGCACTACTTGATGCC